AAATGGTTGCTGAATTGGTTTTCTGTGCCCTACCCCTTTTTGTCTTTTTTATGTTTCTAATCTGTCATAATTCTAATTTTCAATTGTTTATTTTGTGAATCTAGATTGAAAGGCACACATATAACATGCTTCAGTGCCACCCACATCCGGGTGATTTTCAAGACAAATCTAGACCCTTCCATTGCAGTTACTTTATGGGTTTGCAACGCAAACAAGGAGTTCCAGTGAACGAAGGTGAACAATTTGATATAAGATTAACTGTTGAGGAGTTTAAACACTCTGTCAATATGTACACACTGTGGAAGCCTGGAATGGAAATCCGTGTAACACATGTAAAACGTAGGAACATACCTAGTTTTGTATTTCCTGGTGGTGTCCGACCTTCCCGTCCATCCAAAGTAACTTGGGATAGTAGGCGGGTGTCAGATGCAAAAGTTTCTGGCCATGCTGGACTAGACAAGTCAGGTGAAGTTAAAGGAGTTGCAGATGGACAGGATGATGGAAAGAAGAGGAAGAGGGTAGATGACAATGCAGATGCTCAATTGAGAAACAGCAAATACATTGCTTCTGTGCCTTCCTCTAGTCCAGAAGGTCACGTGGGTAGTCCTGTCAGCGTTGTGAGTTCTTGTTCGACAAAGGGTGACCATTCAGATGCAACTGGATTGATCGAAACAACAAGGGAAAAAGCTGAGAGTAATATGACGAATGGCTTATTAAATTCAAGAAGTTTGGAAGAGCTTTCTTCTCATAATGGTGAGGTTGATGGATCAGTGGGATGTAATCCTCCTAATAAGGTTTCTGCTGATGCATCAAGCTGTAAAGAGGCAGAGAACTTAGCAATTGAGAAAATAATGTCTGGTCCATATGGCGCACACCAAGCATTTCCACAGGAACTTGAAGAGCTTGAAGATGATTTAGAGTTTAGGAACCAGGTCAGATCTGTGGAGAACACAAAAAGTGGTCCTGTGGAGTCTTCAACGTCAGATTTGGCAGGGGCAGCCCCAGTACCTTCCAGTAATGGAACCGGTCCTTCCAACAGTTTACATGCTAGTGGGGGTATAGAGGAGTTAGAGGTCGTTTCTTCTAACCTTGCCACTTATTACTGTTGTCTAGAAGCTTTGATATTTCTTGATGTTATTAGATTGCAAGATATCCCTGTTATGGATTTTTTTGCTTATATTTACTTGAGCATGGTTTTTCGTTTTTGGGATTGATTCTGTGTATGATTGGCTTAAATGCTTCTTGCCGCTTGCTTTTCCTTTCTCGTTGGTATTAGCCTGATAGGTAACATCAAGTCTACCATTGTGCCCAATATTAGTTTTCTTTCTTATAAATAAAACCATTTAGTATAATGCACCAGGAGACACTAATTTGTAGGCTATCTATGATTTGAATGCTGCATCTAGCACAAACTGCTCATTTGAGTAAGAGAAAAAAGTGGAAGACTTCCCTTGACTGGTGATTGGGACAACCTTGTGACCTGTTCCCAATATATAAGCAAATTATAAGTAATAGCTTGTAAATAAAACTGGATCAACCGAAACAAGCTTCAATAGGCTCTGTACCTAGAAAACTTTTGTTGTGCATAAATATTGCTTTGCGTCTTTACTAATCTCAGAATGTATGCAGATCCAATTGTAATGTTTGTGTTTAGAAAGGATTGAGCTATTCTGACTGTTGTTTGTTTTCATGTATAGCCTGCGGAACTTACTGCAATGACATCAAATCGGATCCCATCTGCACCTGTGGCCCAGAGGAAGCCACTAATAAGGTACTTTCTATTAATACTCATCTACAAGACAAGGGGATTGGTTGTTTGCATATTGCTGCGGCAAGTTGAGCGCTTTTCTATTGCCCCAAGTCTTAACACAATGGAGGGCATTCATTTTCTTTTGTTATTTGCAGATTGAACTTCACTTCCTTGGGGAAAGCTTCTGAGAAAAGTGGATGAAGCGGAGAAGCGAGGACAGTTGGTGTCGAGGGGTTAGAAAGGTTTATGTGTGATGAAAGAATTTAATTTCTTCACTCTGTCCTTTGGATCCTTTTTGTAACAGTTTTAAGATTTATAGATAATAAAATTTGAGTTTGCGGAAATCCAGCTTTCACTTGTGTAAATAAGATGGGAGATTGATATTTGATGTTGGAAACTTAATGCTGATAAGTGTTTGTACAGCTGCCTCTCTGCATTCAGTTTTTTGCCATGCCTTCACCTCTGCCATGTTTTGCTCTATCAATGCATGCATAACGTGATAATTTTGCTATGGAAATTAATTACCTTAATTAACTTAAAAGGTTAAGTGTTGGATTTTGTTAACGAGTTCAGGTTACCATTGTAGATAATGTTTTATTTTTTTCATCAAATTAATTATCGATGATTGTGTTTATTTTAAAAATATTATTGAGAACGTCATGAGAAATAACAAAAATGAAGTCAATGGCGATAGTTTTGTTTGTTTCGCGTTAGAAAGAAAGTTTAAGAAGACATCACTTTAAAGAAAAAATAAATAACATTAAAGTTATATTTTTTAAAAGTCATGTATATATATAATTTTTATATATAAAGAGATTATTAATATATATATATATATATCAAGTGAGCCTTGTGTTTTTTTAAAGTATATTATCTTATAAATTTAACGAATTATTAATTTATTACATTAATTTTAGATTGAAATCGATTAAAAATATTATTTAATTAAAATTATTAATTTATCGAACGTTAATTTATAGCAATTTTACTTTAAATAATTAGAATCTTGTGTGGTTTAACCTTTACTTATGGTAGTCAAGGATTTCAATGCCAAACATTTATTGGCCCTGCGCTTTTCAACATCTAAGGCTTTTGTTAGGGCTTTTTATATTAAACGATCAAAAATGGACCTTGCTAATTGGAAAAGTTTTAAATTTTTGTTGCCTTGTTAGTGTCAAATTTAGTTAACATTTTTATTAGTAGAATGAAGAAATGTTCGAGAATATTTAACAGTCCAAGCATGTGAAGTTAAATGAGACAAAAACGACAATAAGTATCTCAAAATATTCAATAATATCATTAACTATTATGCACTTGATTCCTCTTGTATCTAAGGATTAATTATGGGATTTGCTTTACAACCTTGATTATTTTGTATGTTGGAAAATAATATGTTAAAGGAAAAAAACAAGTTATGGTTCCAAATTTGGCAACTCCTTGGATAGGACAAAACTTTGTTCTTGTTAGTATCCAAATATGGACTATTAATTCTTATTAGTAAAATTAACAAGCGTTTTATAATAGACATAATATTTAAAAAAAGTTTTTTAATTATTCAAAAAATTTAAATTAAATAAACTTTTATGGATTAATGAGTGATTAATTATTGTTAGTTTAAATGTCACTTATCATTTTATGTCACGTAATATTAATGTGGTATGCGTCATAATCGATGATGACATAATATATTGTCTTATCATAATTGATAACATGATGATTAACATGATCATGTGATATTTAACAATTAATTATAAGAATTTAAACAGATTAATTATATGAACTATAAGTTTGGTTATAAGTGCTTTTAAAATTGAGAGAAGTGGATTTAAATCTACTTTTAAAGTAGGTAGATTATATCCTAATTAATAAGCCAAATTTTCAGATGTATCTTTTAAGATCTTATTTAAGATTAATTAAAATGGTAATTTTATTTGATGAATTCTAATGCATTGAATTAATTAAATATTAATTTAATAAGAATCTTAAAAGAGAATTCTATATTTTTTAAGGTAAAATACGTAGCTTTTTAAAATTTTAATCAAAATTATATAAAATTTTATTAATTTTTGAAATTGACACCATATTTAAAAATTGCAAACACCATTAATAGAAATAATAAAAAATAAAATATTTTTTATTAAATTAAAAAATTATTATTATATTTTTAAAAAATAAAAAAATACAATACACTGATTGGTGCTCCCCAACTCCTCAAGAAAGGGGAGCATCGATTGGAAGGAAGCACCAGATCGATGCTCCCCAAAGGAGGATGTGGCCCCCTAATGGGGAGCTTTTTTTAATTTTTAATTGATAACAAGATAATAAAAAAATAAAATTGTATAATTGTATTTATATAAATTAATTAAAAATAAAATTATTTTTTTTCTTTGTCATGTTAGTAAATTGATAAAAATATTAATAATTTACTAACGGTTAGACTTACGCGTTTGATGAAAATGTTTTTTTGAATTAAGTGTTTATTTTAAAAATTAAAAAAATTCAATGTAATTTTGATTAAAATTTATAAAAATTAAACTATTTTATCGTTTTTTTTAATATGGTTTATGTGATTGTGATGTCGGAGTTTTTTATAATTATAAAATTAAAAAAAAGTAATTAATGATATTTAATTATAAAATATTAAGAATAAATTTTTTTGGATAAAAAGTAAATGGTTTTTTAATGTTATTTAAAAAAAATTAAAGAAGATACATTTATTAAATTTGATTTTCAGTTGTAATATAATGGGAAAAAACTTCATCATTTGGATTAAGAAATTCCGCCAAAAAGCTTGGGTATTTCTATTTCTTTATACAGTGAAAAAGATTGAATCAAGGTGCTGACTGGGTAAGGGAGGAAGGCATCCTTTATTGTCATTTGTCCCTTTCAGGCAGGTACAATAATTTTCTTTCATAATAATGAATATGGAGAACCTGTTGAGAAGATTTTGTCGTTGCGTGAGCTTTCACTTTTCCTCATGTTTTTGGGTTTTTTGGACAGTAGTTAATAAGTTTGTTTGCCTGTCTGACCCTCAAAGATTTGAAGATTGAAGATTGAAGTTTGAGAAAAATCATGGAAGAAGACAAGCTGGACTGCCTACTGGTTCCACTGGGGCTACTGCTGCTTGCTTCCTATCACGTTTGGCTTCTATTTACCGTTCTCAAGCATCCTACAAGAACTGTCATCGGCTTAAATGCTGAGTCTCGTCACCAATGGGTTTTCGCCATGATGACTGTTAGTCCTCTCTTTCTCTTTTTCATTTTTCGACCTCTGCTAGTACATTTGAGCTTTGGGTGCTTTTGCTATGGATAAAAGTCCTGCTAGGGATGATGCTAGTATTGTAGGATGTAGAGAATCTCTGATTGTGACTCATCTCTTAGGGAGTTTTCTGACTTGAGGGAGTGAAGTATTCGACTTTTGAATTGAAGGTGGACAGATTTGTTAGCATTCAAATCTCAGAATAAAAACGATGTAGTAGCTTCTTGCGTTTGAATTTCTTGTTTGGGTTTCTCAAAAACAAGAAAAGAAAGTAACTAGAGGAAAGAAAAAGAGTTGTTACTGTTATGTTGTTCTACATCTCGCCCTTTATATAGCAAAAAGTACTAATGTTAACTTTTTATATACAATTGGTAATGCACTCGTTAATCATCATAAGGGTTTTCCCTTTACCTCCTTTTCCCTCTAATTGTGGAATTGAAAACCATTGCCTTCTAAATATTTAAGGAAAAGGAATAATACTGGTTTCTTTCTAACTTGCATCATTTCTGTTATCCTCAAGACTAAGCTTATGACTGTAATGTGATTATCCACAGTGCTTTACAATTTCCATGGTGCTTGTGGATGGAAGAAAATCATGCTTTCTTCCCTGATTGATTGGAGACAGCTATAATGAATAGCTAGGATTTCTAATTATCTTCACGAGGGGAAGTAGAATTTAATTTTTTCTTTCAGATAGGACTAGAGATTATATCTAGCTGTGATAAGAATGTTTGGCTGAAACTCAACAAAATACTTCTTTACATGTTTAATTTCTGAATGAATCAAGATAACAAGTGTTCCATGAAGCTGATTTGGATTTATTAATTGAATAAAGTGTTAACCTTTTGACAATTGATACAAGGTATCTTTTTTAAGCATGGCAGCAGAATTGCATATCCTGAAGTGGAGTGAGATGCCATGGCAAAGCATTTTCTTCAGGATTGTTTTCCATAAATTTTTGTTTGCTTAGAAATAAAATTATGTTCCTGTATGTACGGCTTGTATCTATATTAGATTAGAATATTGCATGACCTATTCTGAGCATATCTTGTTACGATGATGTTCAATGTTATTGAATTTATGCTTTTGATTCTCATCAAGCAAGTGGGCAACAATCTTTTCTATATATTTTCCTTTTGTCTATGAAAATATTAATTTCGTGTGTATATGTTCTACCATCCCAATATCATATTAGAATGCTTCATGAGCTATCTTGAGCATATCTTTTTGTATTCTTTTCTATATTCTTGAATTGTGTCTTATATCAGCTTTTGATTCTTATCTAGAAAACATTTTGTCTCAGCATATGAGGATCAATTTTCTTTAGTGCTCTGCTACTTCATAGAACCTGAGGTCATTACATAGTTCTCAGTAAGCTTCATCTTTTGCAGTCTAAATTGTGTCATCAGGTCTCTCATTTCAGGTCATTTCAAATTCAGGTCATTCTGACACGAGTTATTCGGGTTCGGGTATTTCGGGTGCAAGTTGTTAACTTTTAAAGTAAAATCAATTTAAAGTCGGGTTATTTCGGGTGAGACTTTCATGTTGTTTGGGTTTGGGTCAATTTGGGTTCAGGTCTTTTCAGGTTTAGGTCATTTCAGGTTCAAGGTGGGCAAGTTTGGCTTGTCGACTCTTCGTAATCAAATCAGATTGGATTGGCTTTTGTTTCGGATGGGTCAGGTGGGTTTTTGTGGATTTGGTTTGGTTTTTCCAACTCTAGCTATAGATTCCCTTTTTTGACATGCACCATGCGAAGATATTTTTTTTAGGACTCAATATCTGCAATAACTGCGTACTACAGCAGGGGAAATTGCTTTTATTGACATTCGGGAATATACTTCTCAAACAGAAATAGATATGTCCTGTGGAACTCAATGAATGTGGAGGAGTGAAAGACAACAAGAGGAATTAGGCTGACTGGTAAAAACTTATTGGTAGAACTGGAAGAGAACTGCTATTGGTGAAGATCTGCTGCACAGAATGTGGCGTAATTTGGTTTTAAATTAACGAAGTTAAGCAAAGTAGAACAAACCAACTAGTATTTAGTATTTTGAATTAGATATAGGCATAAGGACATCTCAAGTAATGAAATGCCAAAAGGCTGCAGAACTCTTGTTTTACTTACTTTTACTGATGAGAAGGACGATTTCACCTGATTGCCGACATTTTTGATGGGAATCTGGGGTGGGTGGGATTGGGTTTTTTTAATTATTCTAAAGAAATAAAACTGCCATTGGGGGATACAAGAATTTATTCTTAATAGTATCTATTGCAGAACCATTTCCTATTTATCTAGCATGTCAGTGTACTTGTTCCCTAACGAAAGGACATATTTAACTTCTACACTTGCGTCTAGAATGGTCATACTAAGAATGACATTGACCTCCTCTTTGATGTTTCAGGATCCCTTGAAAAATGGTGTTTTGGCAGTACAAACAATACGCAACAACATAATGGCATCTACACTTTTGGCAACAATAGCAATCACTCTTAGTTCACTGATTAGTGTTTTTGTTAGCAGCAGCTCAGATTCTGGCAATGCAACTTCAGAAATAGTTTATGGCAATAAGAGTCCTCTACTCTCTTCAATAAAATATTTTTCCATCTTGCTGTGTTTCCTTGTTGCCTTTCTTTGCAATGTGCAGTCTATTAGATACTATGCCCATGTAAGCTTCTTGGCTACTCTCCCTTCATCAAGAGACAATATGGAAACTGTTGAGTATGTTGCAAGAAACTTAAATAGAGGAAGTTATTTCTGGTCGCTTGGACTTCGAGCCTTTTACTTAGCCTTCCCCCTATTGCTTTGGATCTTTGGGCCCATACCCATGTTTTTGTGCTGCTGCGTGATGTCTTTTCTTCTCTATTTCTTGGACACAACAAGCAATTTCACACGTGATCTTCACCGTCGCTCATTCAAAGAGGACATGTTGAAAGGTGTTGATCTGGAATCGACAGGTCCATTATCGTAAGTTCTGTTGAAACTTTAATATTTTTAAATGGTTTTGTAGCCAAGTGTATTTTCAAGAAAATCAGTTTCATACACATGATTAAAATCTTTGTGACTTATTCCTGAAATATGTTTGTGTCCTCTTGAGGATCAAGTTCCTCGTTGATCCAGGTGTTCCCTTGGTGGATTCTTATTAATAACTGGCATTCATGTTTATAATTGTTTACTTATGGATATGGGGTGCTTAATGTTGCTTTGAAGAGCAAAAGTTGAGAGTTAAGAGTTAATTTTGAAATCTATAATTGCTATTTAGTGGAATACATTAGCTTTTTTAATTTTATTAGCTTTAAAGTATTGTTAATGGTATGGAGAGTAGATTCAATGTATGATAACAGAGGACTGAGCTAAAATAATGTGATTTTCATTTTCTGAAATATCTTTCCACATTCCTGGGAATATTGTCAAGCATATGAGCATTCCTGAACTGTTCACTTATTAGTATATATTCTTCCTTTTTAACATTGATGAGATTAGATGTACAAGCCTATGCAAGGTGAGATTGAGCCTGGAACTTAAAGGTTCCAAGGATGCTTGCTTGCCTTTGAGACAAGGCCTCATTGGCTATTAGTATATGAATTCCGTTTTATTCCTTATAGCACTTTTCCATTCTAAACAAATTCTGCACTGTTTTGTATTATTATTGCGATTAAACTACCTTCATGTGAAGGATCTATATGGTGATTTCCCACTTGTCATCAAGATGCAAGCTAGCTTTCACATTCCCTAACATGTAGTCCAATAATGAGAGAAGTATCAGTGTTGAGCTTCAAAAGTTCATGGTTTTAATTATATCATAAGCGCTGGATAAGCACAATATTTCGCTTGGTATATATTTGTAGCTTAAAACGTATTAAGTTGAGTACCTCCAGTAATAAATGGGGTTGTAGTTGTTGTTTACTCTTTCTAGACTTGTTCTTTATCCTTTTCTCTTTTATCTGTAAGTATTTACTGTTGTTTTTTCTTATTTTAATTTATTGATGTATTAACATGTGTGGAATCCTGCATGTGCAAATGAAGATAGAGAATATGAATTTGAGACTTCTTAGGGTTGCCCCTGGCCTTGTTTACTCGTCCCTTCTGAATACCATGTATATTTCTGGTCCTTATGTTTTGCTCATAAATCTCTCTCAAGAACTTTGTTCTTCATTCCCAGGGAGAAAATTCCTTTTGGAGAATCCAACCTTTATTGCCCTCTACTACATGCTGGCACCAATTTTTCGTGAATCTCAAATCTCCCCTAATCAAGAGTGTAGAAGATGCCTACTCCAAGATTTAATGGTAATTCTTCAGGATCTATCAAAGTAGACATACTATTAGTTTTTGATGGAACTAGAGTTGTGGAAGATTCATTAAAACCTTAGTCACTAAGGTGGTATTCGGGATTGTTAATACCACATTAGAAAATCAGCAGTTCCAAAAGTTAGTGTTGAATTGGTTTGATTCTTTGATGAGGATGGGAGCTCTACGAAAGTTGAGGTTCCACCTACATCATCAGCAGCACAGGAACGCATTATTTTGCATCAATATATTCCTAGCTTGAAATATTATTACCTGAGTACCTTCATTTCTAGATGGGGTTGTAGTTGTTGTTTACTATTCCTAGAGTTGTTCTTATTCCTTCTTCTCTCTCTCTCTCCCTCTTTCTCTTATTACTCCTACCCTGTTTTCTGCATGTGCATGCAGACATGAGGATAGGGAGATTTAAACTTAAGATCTCTATAGAAATGCTCTTAGACTTCGTTCACTCGCCTCTTCTGAACCCCACATCTATATCTGATCCTTGTGTTTTGCTCACAATGGTTTCTCTCAAGAGCCCCCTTCTTCATACGCAAGGAGAAACTTTTGTCTGAAGAATCCAACCTTAAGCTGCCCTCTACTTTGTGCAGGCAAAAAACCCTTGGAGCATCTCAAATCTCCAAGATCTTTCAAATCCAACATGCTATTAGGTTTTAATAGAATTATAGTTCCATAAGGCTCAAATTCAAGCATTAGGCTACTAAGTTGGGACTTGATAGTTCTAATACCGCATTAGAATATCAATATCACTGACTGTGAGAAGTTAAAGGTAGAAATTGATTTATTCTTTGACAGACGGTATCTTATGCAAGTTCCATATCATTATGACATGGAATCATTTGCAGAGCTTGAGCCCGGATATATCCATGGTGAAAATCATTTCTAGGCTGCTGGCTTTCATGGAAAATATTGAAGATAAAAGTATAACAAAGTGAGATTGTGTTTTGTATTATAATTATTGAAAATATTCAATAGCATAAAGTCCAAAAATTTGATATTAACTCAACCAACCCAAAATCGATAGAATCATTGATAATTTGGTCAAATCGATCTAATCATTGAAAACTTGATAAAATCGATTTCACTGAGTGAGAATTGGGGTTGGGTTTCAAGTTTTAGAATTTCATGTCATTCCCGTTGGGAGTCATGGACTTCCTATGGTGGGTCTTATGGGGGTCTTCTACTGAATTTATTACTAGAAATAAAACAGAAAATTGAAGATCCAGGATTGGGTTTCTAAATGTTTCTGGAGTTTTATCCAACAGAATGGAACCTTTGAAAGCTCACGACAGTTTAAGCCAATTGATGTTGATGTTAAAATTCTTCAAAATCATCTTGAATTAGAGATGACCAAAAGAAGACTACGTTGGGGATCTCAAAAAGCCAGTATATTTCATAAAGAGTGGCATCGCTCTGCCTGGCAACGGAGGATTTCGATGGCTTGGACCACCTACTCTTCATATGTTTCACAGCAGGGTCGATGACTTGTGCAGATGACTGAGGGACCTCAAAGGGCCCCATTAATGGCTAATTAGTTGTTGATTTGGACCTCCCTAAGTGTCTGTTTTCGTTACAAAGTGAAGCCAGCCCCCATCTTAATGCAACTTCAAACTATATTTGTATCTCCATAATCACTTTCCATCTTCTCTAAAACTCTACAAACTCCTAGACATAGACAGCACTTTCTGATACGATATATGGTACTTTGGAGAAACAAAATTCCAACTCTAACTCTTTGAATCGGAGACATATATACATGTACATTTTATCCTTAAGCTTAAATACTTAACAACGCAAAGCATCAAAGCAAGAACTTAGTCATCATCTTCATATGGTAACTTTAGAAGTTATATAGATAAGCATGTAGTTGAAAAGCAGCAAGAAATTGGGACTCTGCGGAAAGATTGAAAATGACCCAAAATAATGCATTCATAATTAATATAAAGAAAAGGGTCCACTTGGTATCTTGTTTGGCTTCTTTGCACTGGATCACCATGCCATGGAAACAGTAGAATCAAAAGGGAGCTGTTGACAAGCTCCAAAACTGGTCAAGTGCAAAGCATTACAGGCAAGCTCCCCGTCATATGCCATATTCCTTTTGTTACGTGTTTGAGTAATCAGAACCAAAATCTGCCACTAGTACTAATCTTAATCTCAGCCTGGTCCACAGATCAGAAACGCACACTAGTTGTTGTCTCCCCTAGCCCCAGAAACTTTGAACAAGAACAAAAGGATGGCTAGTAGTCCTTTTGATCGAACACTTTTGGCTTACCTCATCATTTTTATGCACCCCCTCATGTCTTTTCTGTATGGCTTGATTTAGGTGTAACCAAAACAAATTGATACTGTCGTTCCTAAATATTGTTGATTCAACGCTCTACCCACTTTCTTTTAAACAAGAATCTTGCAGTCTATTCAGCTAATAATGCCATTGAAATCTTAGTTAATTAATTCCAAAAGTCCTTAACCAATTGATCAATTTATTGAATTAGGATACTGAGATAAAAATTATAATTATAATTATGATCGTAACTTAAATCAAAATTAAAATTAAACGATCTTACGTATAGTGAAATTTGAATTTACTTAAAAATTTTAACAGCTTTTCTTTATTACTGAATCGAGACGCTAATCGAATAAAGTCGGTCTACCAACTAGGTTTGATCAACATAAAAAATCCTGGAAGGCTGCATCTGAGAATCATAGAGAAATATCAAATTTCCACTAGCTAGTGGGCAGGGTTCCTGCTACTGAAGTATGAGTGAACACCACTAATATTGCAGGAAAGAAAGAGAGAATAGTGGGCGGATATTTGTGGAGGGATGATAACAATGCATCAGTTTTGATTCCTTCGTACATGGACCATATCATAAAAATAGGTGTGCCTTTATGCATGTTATCAGCTTGGCCACACGCCACAGGACAAAGAAATTATGGAGGGCCACAAGTGAATGGTAGCCACTAGCCAAAAGGAGTTAATTCCAACGAAATCTATATCCTTTTTGCAGCGGTCAACTTCTACCAAATAAGAAAGAAGTTGAGGACTTCGTCACTGCTCATCTTTGCTTGACATATCATTTTGGGATCATTGTTGATTAGACTTCAAAGGCATAGGCATTCGTTATCAAATGGGATTGACATTTCCTAATTTATGATAACTCCAACTCAAATGTACATACTTCATCCAAAAAGATCGTTGTTTTCCTCTAAGTTGGTTCCCCATCGCCACCCTCTCTTCTCCATTCTTTTCTCCCCCAAATAATTATATGAAATATCATCCAACATATATTTTACCTAATTAAGTAACTATACTTAATCCAAATTGAGACACTTCATCCATAATGCTTTTTGATCTAAACTCAATAATAATTTTTTAAAAAAGTTTTACAATATATTTCTAATTAGATACATGTGCACACACACACACACACATACACTTATATATATTATTGTGAAAATTACAAAATAATCTCAAAAGAATTACCTAATCAATAGAATAATAAAAGAAATCAAGCACATCTACAGGAATATAAGAATTTACGTGGTTTGGTTTTTTGATGATATTTGTCTGGCAACAAAGAACATCCACTAAGAGACAAATCAAAAGATTATAAAAACAGTCTTAAACTTATATCCCTTATGCCACGTACACCCAAATCACTCTCTTTAAATTTAGGTGTCCACTATTCTTTAATCCTATAGGATTCTTTTATAGGGTCAAGTATAATAATCTTATCCTAATATAATTAGGAAATGTTATCCTAGTCAAATTAGATTTAAAGACTTGCTCAACAAGCTATATAAGTTTAACTAGAATTAAACTATCGCAGTCAAACTAAAATTTAAGACTATCCTAACAAATCTTCACCTTAAGGTTGAATTCACCAACCTTTGCCTTATGAACCAATCTTTTATCATCACCGCTAATGCCCTAAAGGGCCTTCAGCATTATGAACATCGAGCAAGTCCAAGCAATACTTAAACTTTATCCCAAAAACTAACTTAGTCAACATATCTATTGGATTTTAAGTTATAGCTATTTTCTTCACTATGATTTCACCTTTAGAAACAATATCTAGAACAAAGTTATACTTGACTTGGATGTTTTTTGTTTTCTCATGAAACATTTGATTTTTAGTCAAGTGTATGGCATTTTGACTATCACAAAACACAAGTGTATGTGCTTGCCCAAAACCAAGATCACTAACTAGGCCTTTAAGCCATAAAGCCTTCTTCACAACTTTAGTCATAACCATATATTTAGTTTTAGTTGTAGGCAAAGCAACTGTTGATTTAAGAATTGCTTTTGAATTGATTGCTGACTCTTAGAGAGTGAACACATAACCCGTTTGAGATATCCTACTATCTAGATCACTAGCAAAATCTAAATTAGAGAAGCCAACCACATTACAACTAGTGTTTGCACATCTTTCACACACTAAGCTAACATCAGTAGTAATTCTAGGTGGTTTCACAAACTCCTATGTTTGATCACAATATGGAGACATAATCTCCTAGGAAGACTCGACATATGTAATTACCTCTCAGTTAGTCTCTACTTTTTCAACCATAAATAAAATATAAGAATCAAAATCACCATTGACATAAGTAACAAAGTCATCGTACTTTTTAGGTACTCTTGAATTCCTTGCAGCAATACTTTGTTGTTGTCTATGAGATACTAATTCTTGTACCTCTAGCGATTTGTTCTGGATTTCACTACCATCTTGCATTGTCCTAGGAGCATTGATTTCAAACTCCACCTACTTGCCAACTTCTTGGTCTAATGTGATTGCAATTCTAGGTTTTAACCTACAAAGTAATGCAGACTTATCAAAGGTAACATCTTGACTCACCATAAACTTGGGAGAGGTTTTAACCTACAAAGTAATGCAGACTTATCAAAGGTAACATCTTGACTCACCATAAACTTGGGAGACTTCAGATCAATACACTACAACTGATAACTTTTCACCCCATATACATAGCCTAGGAATATGCACTTCTTTACCCTTAGCTCAAGCTTACCATCACTTATATGAGCATAAACAGGACAACCAAATACTCTCAATATAAAGTAATCAACAAGTTTACCTGAGCAAACTTTTTTAGGAGTCTTCAATTTAGTTGCAATTTATGGAGACCTGTTTACTAAGTAACAAGCCATGTCGATAGCTTCTATCAACAATACTTTGGATAGATTGACATTAGAGAGCATGCATCTTGCTTTCTCCATAAGTGTTCTATTTATCTG